ACCCCCGCCCAAGGATAATAGGCTTGCACCATGCTATGGTGCCTCAGGAAATCACCAACAGGGGAACTTCGGTTGTGCAGCTTGAGCTCAGATGAGGGCCACTTCTCTGTGTTGTGACCTACGCCCCTTCCGTGCGCGGGATTTCTCACATCGAGTTCCATTATGGAGGCTAAGTGGCCACCGTGGTACTGGATTTCATGTCTTCACCCCAAATTGCTTCCCCTCGAATGTTGAGAAGAAAAAAACGCTGGGTTCCCTCGGGTTGGCCCGTTGCAGGGACCCCATGCGATGTTGGGGACTCGCTGCTGTTACTTTTCCGGGGTCTTCAGGGTAGAATCAGCCCTGACTTTACCAGGAAGTCGCTGCTGCCTAGGGATGGGGGTGCGGGGAAGGGGCAGAGCATTTCCCTCCCCCTTGGGCCTCTGGCAGCTGTGCTGTGCGCCTCCCAAACCTTCGCCCCATTTGCTGCAATTGCCGTGGTGTGAGAAGAGGTGACTGACTCAATCCCTGTACTTCTCCTTAGAAGCAAGAGAAGTCCAGACCCTATTTAAAGACAGCATCAGGAAATGGTACAGTTCTAGAAGGACGCTTCTTTCTCTCCCTCTTTAATGAACTTGTTGGAGGGAATTGGATAGTTCACATCACTGCCTGCACTTACTGCTTCTGCTTAATCCGTTGGACCCCGGTGAAGCTGGAGCCATCACACATCGGGCCAGTCCTGCTCTTTGTCTTTCATCCTATTCTTCTATCCCAGGACCTCAGGAAACTGGGTACTCATTAGCAAGTTTTCTTTTTCATTCCATTCGAGTTGTATTCATGAGATGTTTCTCCTTTACTTAGAGTTAGCTTTGTAATTTTTTGACTTTAAATAAATATCATATCATTTGCTTATCTCATTTGTAAGAAAACTCAGCTATCAAGTGACTCACCTAAAGTAACCGATTTTATTGTCAATTGATCCATGTTTTGCACTTTCATTCCTATAACTGTGGCATTCTCAGAGTGTGTCAAAGTTATAGAACATGATTTATGTTCACAAATACGGAGGCATATTGAGAAAATGGCAAATTTCAATAGTGAGTTCTCTAGGGCCTGTCACCTTCTTCATATATACAATCATATGCAAATTTAATTATAGCGAATCATATAGGTGTTTGTGTGTGTGTGTGTGTGTTTGTGTGTGTGTGTATGTGTGTGTAGATTATGACAGATGAACTTTGAGCAAAATACCCATTTAGTGTGAATTGAAGGACCGGAATGGAAGATATACATTGTAAAATGTTTGTATCTTTATCTTGTAAACTTCAGAATAACAAAAGAAATTCGGAAATGACATGTAAAATTATTTTGTCCTGTTGGAGGATATCAAGTTTATTTATACTCTCAGCGTGCATTAGGCCGTTACATTACATGTGCCAGGCACTGATCTAGTATCAGTTTTGGACATCAGTAAAAATCATTTGCCTCTGGAAATCATAGTGTGCTAGGAAAAAAGGAAAAAAATGAACAGATGTATTATGATTAAAATATGCAGTCCTGAAGGAGTGTACAACCACCAATCATGTTTCTAAAAAGACAGCATTTGAACTGAATTTTGCTAGTAGAGTATTAACTTATTAGAATCCTTGCCCCAGAGGTGATATTAGTTCCAGACCTGGAAGCTGTCACATTAAGAGGATGGGGCTTTGGTTAGTGTCTGGTGTCCATAGCTCCTGGATGGCACCCACCTGACACATGACAGGTTCTCAGGGTATAACTTTCGGCCTTTCATTCCCTTGAGAAGAGCAATAATGAGCAGTCTCCTGAGATAAGTAGCCCAGGAGCCTCAATCGGACAGATCTTAGATAATTTTAGCAGTTTTGTAGTTTGCTTCATATAGCAATCCCTTCTAGTTTCCCCCTTAGTGGCTATTTATCCTTTAATTTGCAGATTTAATTTTAAGGTAGATAATGCTAGTTTTCTTGATTTTCTTTTGCTCTGATATTTTTCCAAAGTGTGAAGAAATGGTAGATTGAGCTTGCAGTGAAACAAAAACTAGTCTGATTTTCTCTCCAGTATAAGTATTATCATACTTTTGTATTTATAGTCAGAATTAAAATAATAAGCATAGCCATCGGGTGCTTCCATATAGATTCAGTTGATGGGGATACATTTATCAGTGCTGTGGAATTCAGTTATATCTTGTCTCTCTCTCTTTCTCAAATACAGTAAGGTTGGGATGAAATTACTCTGGATTTTCTAGGCAGAAGTTTACTAAATCATGGAGTCACTGGATATCTATGTATATCTATCTGCATACAGTTGTGTGTCTGTGTTTCATATGCCATAAGGTTTCAATTGCTGTTAAAATGAGATTTGCTAATTAGTTATATGAACAAGCCAGCAAGATAAGCACAAGGCAGGATTATCATAGGCAGAAAAAACCAGTTAACAAAAGGCAAATAGTACCAGCGATTTTATGGGTTTATCAAGTAAAGTTTGGAAGTAGATGTAGGGACTCTTAAACAGCTTTGTACATAATTCGAAAATAAGGCATCTGGAAGTACACTCCTTGGACGTCTCTTGGGGTGGTCTGTGGAGCCTAGGAGCTCTGTTGGACAGATTGCAACAGCCAGTCTTCGTGAGTCAAGGAAGTGGGACTCTCTAGACCTCCCGAACCAAACCGAGATTGGAGGTCTGTTTCTTTTTGCCTCATTTTCATTCCTTTTCTGGTAAAGTCAACTTAAAATATTAGCTTAGAGACAAGGTTGATTTATCTTTCTTTATGAGTTGCATATTGTCCAGAAACTTCTGTTTTAGTGTTACCTTTATTAGTGTAACATTTTGAGTGATCACATTTTTTATTGCTTTTTATGATTCTCTTACTACTATACTCTTTCATCCATAGTAAATAAATCTTTTAAAGTTCCAAGTGTAGGTAATAAGTGCCAAATATTATGGAATTGCTTGGGTTTTATTGCTAAATTTATTCAAACATAGATATATCTATATAACTGAGTTATATATGTATATATAGTTAATAATTTCACATTTGTATTATTAATCTTCATATTTTTCTCTTTTTTTCTATTTTTACTTGATTTTAGTTTCCAGTATTTTTACCTTAAGAAAGGCGGGTCAGGTAATTTGACATTGCATATAATTTTTTAAATTTAGTATTTATGTGTATTTCTTCTTTTATTATCTCAGATATGTAAGATGTATTCCTATCTCAGGATAAATCGTGAAAAAGATCATGTCAACAATTTAGTGATTTGACTATAGCCTGTATTTTATTTCATTGGTACTTTGAGTAAATCATTCCTTGGTATAAGAAAAACAAAGTTTCATTGAAATAGTCACAAAATCAATCCTATGTATTTATGTCATCCTTAAAATACTAGTGATGCTGTATGCTTGAAAATACGGATGTTTAAACAACTTAACTGCAAGCATAGAGTTGTGATCCAGTGGGAGTCAGTGTTTGTGGCCCCTTGGTTTTTCCCTGTCTCCCTTCCACCCTCCCCCTCTCCCTCCCTCTGTCTTTCTTTCCTTCCTTTGACTAGAGGCCAAGTTGCTTGAGATTCCCATGCAGCTTCCGGTCATCTGAAAATCACATGTGCTTGCGGCAAACCTCACTCCATGTTGGGGTGAATTTTGGGGGAGCAGCAATTTAACTTAAAAGAAAATTTACAATTCTTTTACCACAAATAGAACCTAGCTTGTTAATCTCTAAAGCATACTTAATTATAGTCCAACCGAGTTAGGAATTATAGAGAAAAAATATGTAAACACAAATTTAAGGATACACATTTTAGCCAAGAACTTTGGTTTTGACTGAAGATTTAAAAATAGAATTCAGATCTTTTAATAGACATGCCCTTCTCCAGATTGTATGTGAAAAAGTCAACACCACTTCATTTGTGAGGAACACCTAAGATATAAGGTGTTTGCTGAGACCATTGGGCAGATACTACATTCTAATAGCTATGGAGAAAGTTAATTAAAATATTAGATGCCAAAGTATAAGCTGCTATTTTAAACATAAACACCTCCAAAATATGTAGATTACTGGAAGAAAACTGAATATATGAGGATAGCTCATTTTAAAAAAATATTTGAAAACACAGTTTATAAATTTAATTTTAATAGTTAATATTCATCATTCTCTTGATACGAAGAGTATGTAGAACTACACCCAAATTTTTGGGTTGTTTCACTATGCCTTACATCATATGTTCAGGGTGCAGCTGCTTAAGGCTTTTAAAAATTTGTAGGAAATCATATTAAAAGTTGAATAAAAGACAGTTAAAAGTTTTTGTATTGCAATTTTAAAAGGGATAAATGGATTTTCATAGTCTGAAGACTGTAACTATCTTAGTTGTGGGGTTTTGGGTGTAAATGACCATTCATTTTACAAATACACATTATGCACTTCCTCTCATTGTTGACTCTCACCTGAGTGGGTATAAGAACACCTATATCCAAGTACCATTCTACCCTACTCCTCCATTCTTTCCCCACCAAAGTTCTAATCAAAAGGAGAGATTTATTAGTAACACATTTCAGCAGTTGTAAACTATCTCATCTCACAGATGCAAAAATATTCCCTAATGAACTTAGATGCTATTTTGTACTGTACAAAATAGAATATCAAATATATTCTTATTGTAATATGCTTATATTTGATAATTTCTTGGCAAATAGAATCTTCACTCAGCTTTATTGTAATTTTAGGAATCCAAAAGAGTTCGTGATTACAAAAAAATGGAGTTGGTGATTAACATTTTATTAGATTGATAAAGACTAATTCCCTATTCTTTCAAATGTAAATAGACTCAGGTATTTTTGCAATAAAATTAAAATACAGTCTTACTGGATAACTTCTGAAGAAAAAAGGTGGTACTGGACTTGCATATTTGACACTTGTTTGGCGCAAAATGTGAAGAATAAAGAATCGTTTTGGAATAACTTGAAATGTTTGATCTCAGGGCATGTGTCCCTCTGTGTTTCTGCCGCAGGAGTGCAAGACCCCCAGCACGAGAGGATCATTACGGTGTCTGCTAATGGCACTGTTCACAGCCCCAGATTCCCTCACGCTTACCCGAGGAATATGGTCTTGGTGTGGAGACTCGTAGCAGTAGAGGAAAATATGTGGATACAGCTTACATTTGATGAGCGGTTTGGGCTGGAGGACCCGGAAGACAACATCTGCAAGTAAGTTGTTGCACTGGAAATCCCCACAGACTGCAGCACTGATGTCTTTCCGGCTGCTTCATGGGTATTATTGTAAATGGCATCTTTCTTTGTTTTGATTTATCATTTCATTTAAGTTCCATTTCATTTAAATTCTTCATGGAAAACCTATATAGTCATTATTGTCTACCTTCTGTAATCATTTGAGACCATTTTACTGGAAGGTGTATATAAGCCAAAACCATTTAAAATGAAGTGCAGAGAACTTAAAGCTACGTATAGGAATGGTGTTGTGCCAGAAACCCTAGATTACCATTTGTGCTAAGAATTTTTATTTGACCTTCCCAACAGCCAAGTAAAAGCACTATAAGCTATTACAAGAAAAAAGCCGATAAGGATCTATGGGCATATATTATCCAGGCACACATACTGATACACGCACATGCACAAGTGCACACACAGAGGAGCCAGAGGTTTGAAGCCTTCACCACAAAGAAGAAACACAGTCTGAAAGCAGAATTAAAGATTTAGGCTACCACTATGTCTTGCCAGGTGGGAATTTCTGTAATGCTTCTAGCAGCGTTCATGAACCAAAATCAGCTGGAATATCTCACTGAAGCGAGAGACTACCTACCGTATGTTCCACAAATATTGCTCTGTAAATCCCCCAGGAATGCATTTCTCAAGGTTGGGTGGGCTTAAAGATTTCTCACTTCAGTGGCATTTGTATATCAAGAAAATATTTAGCTTCAGCTTCTTTGTAGAGTTCTTTATTTTGTCTCTGATGTACAAGTTAAAAGAGAGTCTTCATTTTATCATGTATTACAGATAAATATTTCAGTGCAGATGAAAGAAGCTTTGCACTTACTGTCATCACAGATTTGTCTTTCACATTTACTTTTCTCACATGTTTTCCTTCTACGGTTATGCATTCCATGGTGTTTTGTCCCCTGACATCTATGATTTTAGACCCTGCAGAGTAGGAACTAGCTTATTTATTTTTAGAGGTCTATTACTCGAGCCAAGCATGGTGGTGCATGACTGTAATCCCAGCACTGTGGGAGGCTAAGGCTGGGAGATTTCAAGTTCCAGCCCAGGCTGTGCAATTTAAAGTGTTAGGGAGACCGTCTCAAAATTAAAAATGTGAAAAAAGAGTTGGGGAGGAATTCAGCGAGCCTAACAATTTTATGTGTGTAACATCGGTTTATGTGCATGCCTCTATCTTAGGTCATTCATTTTCTTTGCTATGTAGTATTCCATGGTGTAACTTGGCAACCTGTTTAGTCTCTTCTTTTCAGGAATGCTTGGCTTCTTTCTAGCTCTCTTTGTGCACAAAAGCAAGAAAGCCAAGTAGAGATCCAAGAATGGTTAGCGGCCTAAAGATGTCTATATTTTCCATGCTACTAGGTAGAGTCAAATTATTTAAAGTGACCAATTTATACTTCTACCAAAACATGCCAAAAAGTCTGTTGCACATCACCATCTGTAACTTTGGATTTTGGTAACATGGAATGAATTGTAACTAAGCATGAATTTTGTTTTCCTGATTACTAAGTAAGGTTGAAAACTATTCCTATTTACAACAGCCCACTAATACTTTGTTTTTGGAGAAATACCTGGTCCTATGTTTCCTGGAGATTTCATTTATCTGTTGGGCTATTAGAACTTTGTCTCTCCTGTTTCAGTTCTTCACACATTGGGGTGTGCCCCCACTTGCTTGCCTTCTTTACTTGTTTTCCTGTGTGCATGCGTATTAGAATGTGTGCCTGGATGTATAATATCTTTATATTTTCTCTATGGAATTTGATTTTTATGAATACTTGGAGCCTATTCTACTCACTTTGTAAATTCCATTTGTATTCATTTTTCTGTTTATTCAGTCTTCATATTCCATCATTCGTTTCTACTCATTTAAAAAAGAAACTAGACATCAATTTCTCTGTCTAATGGACACTAATAAGAAATGCAGACTTAACAACTTCTAAAGCTAATCAATGTTTGCCCAAAATGCAAGGTAAGACTGATAAGAGAAAGAAGAGAGAAGAAGAAAGGTTATTGTAATCCATCACGGAGAATGTATCTAAAAGTGTTTTAGTATAATTTTGTATAAATTTAGTATAATCAACTGAGTATAACTGTCTTATATGTTTTATATGTTTTTTGGCCTATTAGCCTGGTCGTCAATCTGTATGCATGATAATTAACTTTAGGAAGACTTGTAAGATAGACAAATGAATGTGACACTGGGAGGGGAATTGAGATGCGTCACCAGTTCCCCACTGTGCATGTAACCCTTATGTACTGCAAGCACGTGGCAATAAACATTTCTTTAAATAAAATAAAAAATGAAATTACCGTTCTGGCACAACTCAGTCCAAGTGTATGAAAACCGGCCCAAGGCGCCATGAGACAGAGATAAGGAAGGAAACAGGTCCAAGACGGCACAGAGCGCAATGGGTTGTGGACATGGAGAAATGTGCTCCGCAGTGGCAGCGGAATCCATGGTCTCCTTGCCTTGGGTTGGAGAAGGCGGCCCTTACCGTGGTCAGGACAGAAGCGACTTCATCCAACCTGCAGTGTCTCTGGTTTATCCTAAGCTAGTATCAAAGACTTCCAGTCCATTCCGGCCCCCACAGTGGCAGGTCCAGTTGTAAAGCTCCATACACCACTCCAGTGGTTTTGTTTATTTATAGCACGCATGTGGTAAAAATCACCCTGGGTTACGCAGGGCCAGGCATGGTGGTTAGGACCCAAGATGGCTGTGGTTATATCAAAGTGAATCTCTGGCATTCCTTAGAACATTTTGTCTTGGATCATTTTGACGGTAATAAAATGCTAGCTCCTAGGTGGTGTTATATTGTGTTAATGAAGCAGGCTTGACTTTATCGTGTGCTGGGGGGATGCGGATCCCACCATGCTGGCTCTCATAGTGTACCGAGAGGGACGAGCAAAATCAGGTTTCGTGCATCCACAGTTCGGTTTAGGGCGATCCCTCTGAGGTGCCGACTGCGTGGGGACTGAGGTAGGGTCCAGGTGTATGGTGGAAGTAGCGGCAAGGCAAGGGCTGTGAAGCCCGGAGCTCGGCAGCTACTGGCAACTGCTGCTGCTTTCTGTTGATCGAGGGGAAGAAGAACCATGACGAGTCTATATTTGGCATTGTCTTCTCAGATTTTAGCCCTGAAAGATCCACATCCATACTTGAGTGCTAGAATAAAATCCGAGGACCTGGGTGGCCAACACACAATAGAATTTTAGGTCTCCCAGTTCTGGGGCAGGAAGGCCAGGGGTGGGGTGCTGTCCCTGTGGTGGCTGGCTCTGTGGGGCCCACTGTGTCCCCATGTGATGGAAGGGAGGAGGAAGCCTCTTCCACAAAGACCTAGTTCCTTTTCATGTCCTAATACCGCCACATTGGAGGTTTGAATCCAACCTGAATTTGGTGGGGATGGGTGTGGGAAACGCAAACATTCAGATCGTAGCAGTGAACTGAACAGCTCTCTGCTGTTTAGGAGGGAGGAAGGGAAAGGCTATGGGCCTGAAGGTGACACAAATGTGTGCCACAGTGCTGGGGCGGAAATTAGAAGGGACATGCGTGTTGAAGTGTAGGAAGATCAGTCACAGTCTGGTCAGGCATGGAATGTGGAATACATTGGGCTCTGAAAACTAGGTAAGACTTTAGCAGCTGACTAGCAACTAATAGGTGCTCAGTAAAAGTTAACTGATATAAAATAATAGGTGGTTGAGAGAGGAAGGAGAGTTCTGGACAGACTGGCCAGATCATGCAAGGAATCATCTGGAACACTGAGTTTCTCTGAAGCATGGTGTACACTACAGGAATAAACAGGGAAAGGTCAGACTGGGAGAAACCCAGACTGTCACCTGGATTGGGATGTCCTTCCTCCTGCTGTCCAAGCTGAGGATTTTGTTGCAAAACGGGATTGTATGCTGCCTGCTTTTCTGGAAGACACTTCTGATGAGACCACAGAATTGATCAGAGGAGAGAGTGGAGGCAGATGGAATAGTTGGAGGCATTTTCTTATTTCTCAAACAAAACTTCACAGGGAGATAATCCCTCAGGCTGGTACACTGTGTGGTTCTTTTCTGACTGATCACATTGCTCTTACCAGTACTCCCTTCTTCCTTAGGGTTCTGTGGGTGTGGGGAGGCAGGCATGCACTTGCATTTGTGTGAAGAATCCCCATGCTTTCTTTTGAAATCTAAATTCTTGGGGCTGGGGGTGTAGCTCAGTGGTAGAGAGCTTGCTTAGCATGTGCAAGGTCTAGGAGTTGATTCTCAAAGCTGGAAAAAAATGCTGTAAAAAATCTAAATTATCTTTTGCCTCAGAACACAAATGCTAGAGGAACAAAATGGCCAATTTTAGCATTTATATTAAAAATAGAACAGTAACTTTGTGTGCTAAATATTCATTCTGTTATCATATGGAGAAGATCGCCTTTCTCTTTTCTATCAGTGGCTGACAGGGAGATTTTACATGGACCCTAGGAAGAAGAGAGACCAACATTGTGTTGTGTTGGGGCTGAATCTTGCAGTTCTGCTGGAGGTGTGCTATATACCATGACACATTCCCCCAGTAGGTAGTGCAAGGATAGTGGAATTCATACAAGAAAGTAGTACTTTCAGACTGTAAGTTTTGAGGCACTACAAATAGTTAGCTAGTGATTCTAACCAGTCTGTAGAAGAAATGTTTGGGTAATGTCTTGGAAATTCTGAGGCACAGATTTTATCCAGGTTCTAAAATAGTGCCTTTGTGTCTCTTTAGCTCTGTCTCTGTCTCTATAGATGACCTCAGGCTCTAGGAATCTGTCCATGTAAGATGGCAAAGAAAGCCATGAAGACAAGGAAGTTTCCTGCAAGAATTATGGAGAGAAGCTTTGATTGGTTGGCATGGACCAGGTGTTCACAGCCCGGCCTTTTGCCATGGGAGGAACCAGCAGTGTTACATCGGCAAGATTAAGGTTGCAGGCCCCTTCTGGGAACAGAAGTGATCCACTGTAGTTGGTGGA